ACCTAGTTTCACTGTATTTTTTGTAAAAGGTTGAACTATCTACTCCTAGGAGTGTATACACTGCATATTTTCAGATACTGCACAAAGATGTGATCAACCTGCAGTGGAAATGCAGGGTCTAGGGAGTTAGAGTGTGTGTGTGTTTGGTAATCCATGAAACATCTGAAGTGGCCTCTCAAATGTGCCTCACTATTGTTTAGGTTCCAGTATAAAAATGGGTCTCACCTACTGAACCATGCTAAACTTCATTGCAAGGGCGTATGGGTGTATGGAATGGGTTCTGTTTTTCTCAGTGTCAAGATACACAGGGGTCCAATTAAGGCCATTTAAAAGTGCTGGGAGGCTGATGCTACTAGTCTTTTACTAGAAGCGATATTGATGAATACAAATCAAGAACAGACTCAGAAGAGGACAAAAAAGCTAATTATTACCACAAGCATAGGTGTTCTCTGCTTGTCTCCCCCCTCCCAATAAATGAGCCCAGAATTTACAGCCACACAGCATGTACAGTATTCTGTAACTCTGGTGTCAACTGTTATTGTATGAGTCTTACACCATAAAACAATGTCCAGTATTTTCTATATGGCTGAAATTCTCTTGGAGAAAAGAAGGAAGCAACCCCCTCTTACAAAACATGAGATAAGAGTCCCTTCTTTCCTAAAAAGAAGACATTTCAACCCAGATAAAATGCTGATTTTTGCCGAAAGCTTTCTGTAAATGGAAGAGAGATCAAGGAGCTGCAAATTCAATACAAACAGAAGAGGTAATCAAAGCTGTTGTCCTGGAGGCACACACCCTGCAGCCCTCGGGCTATCCAGCCCCATGTGTCTGCTTAAGAAATGCAGCTCCACCTCAGCAGAATGTTGACTGGACTCAAATCATTTGCATCTTAAGCTCAGCCCAACTACCATTTCAGTAAAGATCATGTGTCCCCCACCCCTCACTCTACAAGCCCCATAGCTATCATTACACCAACAAAATGCTGACTGATTTGCCTCGAAGGTACTGCTTCAGTCCAATAAGAGGCAAACGTATTTTAAAGATCTGCTCTGCTCAAGAGTCACAATGTTCTAGAAATGAAACGAAAAGATCTACTGCAGTATACTGAAATTCTACATTAACTTACTCCAACATCTACAAAGGAGCACAGCTAAGCTCTTGGAGCAGGATCTGCACAAGTCTGGCACTTTACAAGGATGCAGAATTGACTGTAGTCACAAAAGAAAGCTGTGCCTGTAATTAAGTATGCCCCATTTTTTCAAAAGGAGGTAAGCAATTAAACACAAGCCTGTATAACAAGATTACTACAGTAACTTAAACTTAGATTCTAAAATAGGACATTATCCTAGTGGGGCTCCCCAAACTGCACAATCATTTCAGGCAGAACCCATTATTAAATTTACTGAACATCATAGCCACGTCAGGTACACTTCATCAAAAGATGCATCAAAGCTTTCCTGCTTTGGAAGTAAGAACATAATTGTCAATAGTAAATCTTAATACACATTATGGAGCATAATAGAGGCAAGCAGGAGAATTCCAAAGCAGTCAATGCTAATAGTCGTCAATGTTAGTAGTAGAGGTTACTGATCGCTATAGAATCAATTAAGGTTCCATAATAAATACTGACATTCTTAACAAAAATATTTTTATTTTAGTGGTTTAATCTAAGAAGACCAAAAAAGGTCTAGTACTTGAACTTTATTTCTTGAAATGCATTAAGGACAAAGTATTGGTGTGAGTCCAACCTTTCTCTAACCTCAGGAACCTTCCTTGCAATTTAAGCAGCTCTTCCATTAGAGGAAAGCTGATGAGGCTGGAGGAAAGATTCAAACTTTGCTCACTGGAGTGCTAGTACAGAGGTAAGGATCCTCCTCCTTGTTTGATACGTGGAAGAAAGAAAGAGCCTGGGCCTTGAAAGGACTTAACATTGGTCTACTTCCAAAAAGCTGTGAGAAGTGAAAATGGTCAGTGCACCAGAAATTAAGACGTATGCAAGAATTTCTTTACTTCAGTACTGTTCTATTACACTCCTGAAGCATTACAGAATTCAAATGACCTAAAGAAATCCACACAGGGCAAACCCAAGTCTATTTAGCACCTGAGGCAAAAAGAAAAGTTCCAAGTGGCAGCCCCCTTCCCCAAGCCCTTCTGTGACATACATACATATACATATACATACACACACACACACACACACACATACATATACTGTAAAATCAACACCCAGGCCAAACCCCTGGACCTAGAGTCACCAAATTCAGGGAGGTGGCGTTGGTGCTCGCTAAGAAGGGATTTTTAGAAATTTGACCCCTAAGTGGGTCAAAAGGGGGAAAATGTGATCCCCCCATTGATTCCTATATGGCTGCCAGGCGGCTGCCTCTCTGCACCCCCCACTCAGTGGTCAGCTACAGAGCTCAGTGTTCTGAGGTAAAAAAACCCCCAACAGTTACAGGGGACTGCAGAGAGTTAATAACAGTTGAGGAAATCAGGAGTGGCCAAGAACCACCTGTGAGGTGAAGCAAAGCTGCTGGCCCAGCCTCTCTGATGGCTTCCAACACACTCCCCCCACCTCCTACACCTAACAGGCGGTTGTCAGGAACTTTGGGCAGGTAACACCACACACTCAGGCTTCTTCAGAAGACAAGTGTTTATTGGGTAATTCCAGTACTAAAGTAACTCATGTACAGCTTGTGTTAGGAATGGTCTGTTCCTACACTGGACAGGCAGCTGCCTGTCAGGTGTAGGAGAGGAGGTGGGATGTTTACAGCCGCCAGGGAGGTTTGCTCAGCAGGACTGCCTTAGCACTGCTGTTGGCCCAGCCTCTCCGTTGCCTTTAAATACAATCCCCCCCAACACCAGACAGACCGGTGCCTTTCAGGTGTAGGAGCAGGGCCAGGGTATGAATGTTTATGGGGAGATAGTAAAGGACATTTCTAGGAGCCATTTCAATGCATGCCTCCCTCATGAACTTGAAGAAATGTCCACCACATCACCACTCACTCACACAAACTCCGGTTCACACCTCTCACCTCTTACTGCCCCCAAGAAAGCTCCTGGCAAATGTCGAGCCAGATACACCAACGCTACAAGGAGGAGGCAACTTAGGAATGCGGCAAAGACATTTGCACATAGTACTCCTGCAGTATACTCAGCTGCACAGGCCAAGTACCAGCAAGATCACCCTGAGGTGCTCAGAACAACACAGTCTCCAGATGAGCAAAACAATCCAGGAACACAAGCAGAGAGGCTTTTGTGGAAGGTAGCTGGAGTTGACTTAACAGACGACTGCTTCTTAAATGGACAGTTCTATGTGGCCCGCTCCAGAGTGAGCTCATCAAGCAGCCTGGTGATCCTAGCACCTGAGGGCAGAACCACCAATGTGGTCTACAGAGAGGTCCTTCAGTAGAGAGAGAGAAAGTACGTATGTCTCACTTCTTTTCTTACACTACAATCTTCTCTGTTAGAATTCCTACAACAAATGTCACATTTCAAATTTCACACCATCTCTCCTTATATATAATTGGGTTTTGGTCCCACAACATTCGATGTGCACCAAAATAGGTTAGCCGCATGAGCTGCCACTTAGAACATCAGGAGGCTATTGGCTCCCTACACTCAGTCCCGCTCACACAAGCAGCAGCAACGAAAATTTCCCTCACACTGTTCCTGGCTCCATCCGATGACAGTCGCTCTGGACCGCTCTCCTCCTTTGCCAGGAGGAGGATGAGCTGCTTCAGGTAGGAGGGCCCTGACGGGCTTCCCTGCCCCGCCCTGCTGCCAGACTCAGCTCGGGCAGGAGGGAAGGGGCCACGGGGAGGCCCACGGAGGTCACGGGCACTTCTTCGGGGGACGGGAGGGCCCCACTGGGCTTCTATGCACCGCCCCCACCTTGCTGGGACGCCGCCGAGCCCCGACTGGGCTCGGGGACAGTGGAGAGGGCTGCACTGCGCTTCCCTGGGCCGCCACAGCCTCTTCTTCTGGGGGGCGGGCAGGCCCCTGTGGGCTTCTCTGAGTTGCCCCCGCCTCGCAGGGCCGCCGCTGAGCCATGACTAGGCTCGGGGCGGCTGGAAATGGCTGTGCCGCACTTCCCTGGGCCGACGCGGCCAGGCCCAGGGATGCCACGGCCTCTACTTCGGGGGGAGGGAGGGCCCCGCCAGGTTTCTCTGTGCTGCCCCCCACTTCGCTGGCCCGGTGACGTACCCCACCGAGGCTAGGGACGGGGGGAAGGGCCACACCGCGCTTCCCTGGGGCCATGCTGCCTCGCCCAGAGGGGCTGTGGACCCTTGTTTGGGTGGAGGGCCCGGCCTTTCCTCGCCCAAAGAGGTTATGTCAGCTCTATCCGGGCCAGTGGGCCCTTCTTCAGGAGCCTGGCTGTCCACCTCAGACCTCACTCAGCCGGTGGGCCAGCTGGGCTTTGCTGGGGGGGGGATGGCAGTCTACCTCCGCCACTGGTGCGTTCCAGGGGGTGGCCTTCTTTTCCCTCCCCAGCTTTTTCTCCTCCCCCCCATCTCTTTACCTTATTTCCCTCTGAGTCTCCCTCCTGCCCTCCCTCTTTCTCTTCCTTCCTTCCATCCTTCCCTTATGTTCTTCTGCCGTGGTCTTCCCATCGTGCTCAGATGGGACTGAGGGGACCAGGGAGCCAGACTACTGCTGCAGGTCCCCTTCCTAGCGCCCGTTGCATTCATTACTGCAACGGGCCTTTCTTCTAGTCAGTATTATAACTGGATTTATGGAACTTAAATACCGGAGCAAAGCACGGGTATCAGGCTAGCACACACACACACACACAGACATATATTTAAAAACTGGCAGCTTTTCACTTCGAGACAAATACCTCGGGCCTGTGGAAACCACCATCCCCACTAACAAAGCACTAAGTTGTCAGGTCACACCATTAAAAGGTAGATAAACCATAGCTTCATCATTTTGTTTGGGAAAAATATTTTTAATTCCAATATATTAAGGATTTGTTTTTACAATAGAAAATCAGTCTACCTTTAAAATGAAAAAGAATCAGAATACATACAGATGTATCAAAACTACAAAGTGAATGGCATTATATGAAAAAAGGGAAACTTTGTTAAAAAGTAGTATCAAAATCTCACCCATTACGCAGTTTTCCTACGTATATGAATCACACGTACAGACTAGTCTCAGTCCAGTCCTCTGCTTTCAGTGGTGGTCACTGGAAGCACCAAGTCAACTGCATGAGCTGTGTCACTTACTGCATGCAGGTCTTCACACTGTTGTTCCAGCCTATGGTCTTTACGACTTGCTGCTTTTTTATCTTGGCGAATTCTGGGTCTCTCATGGACCTCTGAATAGAAGAGCCTGTGTTCTATAGCGCACACTTCTTCATGGATGAGAGAGGGTGGGACCCTCAGGATGAAGGAGAACAGGCTTAACACAAACTGGTAGGTATGAGGAAAGTCTGACTCTTTATAGTGCGCCAGGTGACCACATGTACTGTAAAGAGAAAGAAAAAGGGATATAATATTACATGCACATCCTAAATTATAGCATCCAGATTTTGGTGGGTAGCTGCGTTGGTCTGAAGCAACAGAACAAAGTTCAAGTCCAGTAGCACCTTTAAGAATACAATAAAATAATAATAAACTTGAATAAAACTTTGTTGGTCTTAAAGGTTACAGCTGTTATGTTGCAAATCAATCATGTTAGAAAACCTAAATGTGGGATATGAAGCATGGACAAACTTGTACATGGTTCAGGCTTGTACATAATATTTTTGTCTTTTCCTAACTTTATTTAAATTTTACTAGCATTATTTATTTAAATTTGGATTGGAAATTATTCTGATTCAGATTGTCCTAGAAAACCTATATCACAGGCGCTAACTAAAACTTTTCTTGTACTGCTCCTTCTAGTTACAGCTAAGCACTTATACAGCACTTGTAATCTGCCAGGGTTTTAGAATCTTTGCTGTAAACTACCCTGTTATGCCTTATTACTCTGTTATCCCATTAGTAGGTAGCTAATGCTAAGGGTGGGAAGGTAACAGCGTTCCGTGCGCCTTGGTGTTTAGTCATGCCGGCCACATGACCACGGAAACGTCTTTGGACAGCGCTTGCTCATCGGCTTTGAAACGGAGATGAGCACCGCAACCCTAGAGTTGGATTCGACTGGCTTTCGAGCAAGGGAACCTTTACCTTTACCTTTAATGCTAAGTGACAGAAACTTACACAAGGATACACAAGTCCAAGAGAGGTAGACTTTCAGCCCAATAATTCATCAGTAGTCCTATTCTTATACAACTGTGGCAATCTAAGCTGCAAGGAGGCACGTGACTCACAAGCTGTTGGTGTTCAGTGGCTCCACGGGTTTTCCACTCTGCTACCGCAAACCATCATGGTATGACAGTCTGCAGCAGCACAGTAAGAATACTGTCAAGTCCATACAGAAAACATGGAGCACTGGTACATGGAGCTGTGTCCCAGCTGTTTGAATTCCAAGTGGCTATCACATCACTGTTTGCACGTATGAGGCATCATTCCAGCTCTATGGTGCCCAGGTCACACTGGATGTTGGGTCTGGAGCAGGACTGGACTAAAACTATCATCACAGTCCTAGTCTAGAAATAAGCGCAACTGGATTTATGAAGGCTATGATGGTTTGTTCTGCCATGTGAAACACAGGAGTCAGCATAACGGAAAGAGGCTCGCACTAATACACATTCAGCAAGCAGGTCAAGCAACTGCTAATCGCACAGTACTAACTTACAAGCACTCTGGATAACAGCCCCAAGTGCTTGGAGGGGTAGGTCTGTTATCTCTGTCCGTAAGCAGAGGCCAGTTTTAACACACACCCTTCTTCCCTCCACTTCCATGCACAGATCTTGATATCCTCTCTCCCACCTGTTAAAATTGCCACACAGGAAACCTGTAAGCATCTACAATGGGCCAATGAAGAGCTACGATTTGGGGCTCTCTTCATCACAGTAGCGAAATTGGTAGCAGACCTCTTGCCAACCTCAGCTGCTTCCCCAAGCAAACCCTGCTGCCCACTTTAACCACTATTAAGTATTCTATCAGCACTGACATAAAGTATGGCTTGGACCATCGACAGGACAATTTCACCTAAGGAAATTATTGTTACCATCCTCAGAGACCATCTTGTCTGTATGGAGCACTTTGTTTGTTGTGATTTAATGGTTTTTACTGTTTTATATTGTTTTATGTATGGCCTTATGCCCCTGTGTAAGCCGCCCTGAGCCCGATCGTGGGGAGGGCGGGGTAAAAATACAAACAAACAAACAAACAAATAAATACAAAGTTGACCAGGGTTCTGTCATAGTAACTGGACTTTGAAATCAAGGACTGAAACTCCCACCAGCAACAATCTCTGAGCAGACCTCACATCCTTTCTCTTACATGAACAGCAACAGTATCAACCGTTCTCCCCTGCCTGAATAGAACACTGGAACGCTATTAAAAAGTCATCTGTATTTTCTTAAGGAAAACTTGGAAGGGGAAATGGAGGGAGAAGGATGGTATATACTTCCAACAGCATAATATGGAAAGCACCTTTGAGCACTACAAAAATGCTTGGTAAAGTCCAGCTCTCAGGTTTCATCGTCAACCATTCAGTATACAGGCTGGCCCTATAAAGCTTTTATCGAACTGTCCTCAACTGTTCTTTGGATGAACGGTGGATCTTTCCTCTTTGTGACCACAGCACACAGGGAGAATGACTATAGCCTCCTCAACCTTTTTGGTGTGTCCTCAAACCACCATACGTAGTCACCATTGGATCCACTGTGAAACACACATATAGCCACATAAACGGATCTTTACAGTGGAGCCAATAGCAGCTCCACGGGTCAGTCTGTGGACACGAAAACAGCGTGTGAGGGGGAAGCCAAAGCTGCTTCTCCTTGCGTGTTGTGCCTGCAACCAGAAAAGACCACTGTGTTTTTGGGAGGCACCAAACGTGCACTGCACATGTGACATAGTCGTCATGTTACACACATGACACAAAGTACTCAATTGGCAGACTAAGCCCTTTTGGCTCATGTGCTGCCCCAGGGATAGGACTCGCAGTAATAATTAAGGGCAGGAAGGTACCGGCTGGATATTAGGAAAAACCTTTTTGCAGTAAGAGCTGTGCAACAGTGGAATCAGTTGCTTAGGGAGGTGGTGAGCTCCCCCTCACTGGCAGTCTTTAAACATTGGCTTGTCAGGGATGCTCTAGGCTGATCCTGCGCAGAGCAGAGGGTTGGACTAGATGGCCTGTATGGCCCCTTCCAACTCTGTGATTCTATGATTCATTACAAGCCCAAGCAGGACTCATGCATCTGAGATGCACGGCATTGGGCCACACACAGATGCACAACTTTGGTGATGGGAACTTTAGAAAAAGAACACTTTGTACAAATAGCCAAGGATGAGAACAAATATTGGGCTAGATCTAAACTAAATTTTCCAATGGCAGAATGGAACTTTCCTGCCCCTCCCCAGCCCACTGATCTCCATGAAAGGCTGCTCTTGAAAAATAGGGGAATTGATGGAAATTGCCAATTTAATCTGGATCCAACCTACTGTTACAGAATACTGCCAACACTACTCTATTCAGAGCCCTTACAGGTAACTGCACCTCAAGATACAAACCCTGAACCAGATCCTCCACTCTTTCTACTAGGAATACAAGGACAATGAATTCTACGCATATGTAAGCAAAGGAAAAGGACCTCTGCCTCAAACTGTGACTGGTGACATATTCCCCCACATTTACACACACATTACATTGTATTTCCTGTGTATTGGTTGTTAAACTACCCTTTACCCGTCAACAATCGTTGAAGTGCCCCCATGCACTGGGTAACTATGCACAGAACATAAAGGGGAAGAGGTCCCCTAAGAGATATTCCAGATCATATCACTGCAATGTTGGTGCATTGTCTGTACTCTCACCTCTCGACTTGTTAAGGCTAAGCAATGCTGTGCCTTCTTTTAAACTCATAATAAAAAGTAACAAAACCTGCCAATGTTTTGGACTAAGTACAGTGTTGCAAAGTACAACGAAGTCTAACCTCATCATTCCAACATTCTGCTTTTCACAAAAATTTGCCCCAAGCGACTTGGTTTTAAAAACTAAACCTCTAATCACACATTTTTCACAAGTGTCAAATCCTTACTTCTTCTTGCACAGTTTTGCTGTACACAACCAATAATCTGTGCCCTGAATAGTAAGGGTGTGGCCCTCTTGTTGCAAAATTCCATCCAGACTATGCCCATGAAAACAAGGCCTTTCTGGGTCGTCTTCTGTCCAGTGAAGCTGGAAACTTGAAGGCTTTTTCTTCTCAGTGTGCTCCACAGCGCCAGACAATGAGCGAAACTGTCTTTGAAGGACTGTTACCATTTCTGAACAAAGCAAAAAATAAACACAACAACCAGTCACAAGTAAAAGAATTTTAAGGGCTTTACATACATACGTTTCATTACATGTACAAATATTGTTTTAAAGGGTATTTACAAAAGGTCTTGAAGCAATGTTAATTGTAAAATGTTAACAAAATGTTAACATCAATTATAGTCCTCCTGAAGAATGTGGGTGTCACATGACGTGGAAGTTAGCAGAAGACATGACATGATCTTGTGCTATTTTACTATTCACATACGAAAGAAGAAATAAAGTGAGGAAGAAAAAGGTGTTCAAGCTCCTCTTTAAAGATTACCATCCTAACTCCTGCATTACCTTATGGGAACAGAGAACGGACTACGGCATGGTCTTTCCCTCTCCTAAGACATCACTGTTCACCTACTTGCTTTGTCTAACAGAGAGCCAGAAAGAGCCTTGGAATGTCCTTAAAAGAAGTCACCAAATATAATCCTGCTGGGGGGGTACAAACTATTGCATTCTCCACTGGGGTAACAAATAGGATATTTGGCAAAGGCAATTCTACTCCTAGTTCCTTGTGAAGGGGTGGGGATTTCCCACCCTGCCTCCTGATCCCTGCCTTCTATGCAAGATGTTACGGCAATCTGGTCTGAAACACTTTTTTTCTTGGGTTGCTTTATATTCTAATAGAAAAAGCTTCATGGCCAGTATTGTAGGAAATGTAAAAGTATAAAAATTTACACCTAC